GGGCAATCCACCCAAGCAACAGAAATAAAAGCCAAAATAAACAAATGGGACCTAATTAAACCTATCAGCTTTTTCACAGCAATAGAAACCATAAGCAAAGCAAAAAGACAACCTATGGAATGGGAGAAAATATTTGCAAAAGGTGAGACTGAACATGGCTTAACTTCTAGACTATATAAATAGTTCATACAACTTAATAAGAAAAAAAATAAACAACCCAATCCAAAAATGGGCAGAACAACTAAACAAGCAATTCTCCAATGAAGATATACAAATGGCCAATAGGCATATGAAAAAAGGCTCAATATCGCTAATTATCAGAGAAATGCAAATGAAAACTACAGTAAGTTATCATCTCATACTAATCAGAATGGCCACCATTCAAAAATCCACAAACCATAAATGCTGGAGAGGCTGTGGAGAAAAGGGAACCCTCCTGCATTTTTGGTGGGAATGTAGTTTGGTGCAGCCACTGTGGGAAACAGTATGGAGATTCCTCAAAAGACTGATAAAAGACTTATCATTTGATCCAGCAATCCCACTCCTGGGCATATATCCAGAGGGAACCTTAATTCCAAAAGATAACTGCACCCCAATGTTCACAGCAGCATTGTTTACAATTGCCAAGACATAGAAGCAACCTAAATGCCCACTGACAGATGACTGGATAAAGATGTAGTATTTAGGTATAAAAGAATATTACTCAGCCATAACAAAGAAGGAAATAATGCCACTTACAGCAACATGGATGGACCTTGAGATTATCACACTAAAGTTAAATAACTCTGACAGAGAAAGACAAGTATCATATGGTATCACTTATATGTGGAATTTTTAAAAATGATACAAATGAACTTATTTACAGAACAAAAACAGACTCACAGACTTAGAAAACAAACTTAGGAGTTTGGGATTAACAATTACAAACTACTATATGTAAAGCAGACAAACAACAAGGATTCACTGTAGAACACAGGGGAAAATATTCAGTATCTTGCAACCTATAATGGAAAAGAACCTGAAAAAGAATAGACTATGTATATGTACAACTGAATCACTATGCTGTATACCTGAAACTAACAAAACAGCTGTATATCTGAAACTAGCAAAACATTGTAAATCAACCACATTTCAATTAAAAATAAAGATAAGCTCTAAATACCTTTATTCAAAGAAAATCTTCAACTCTTACCTCTTACAAAAAGTAAAATGGGAAGCTTGAGCAGGACCAAATTATACTGAATGAGAGGTTACGTACCTTCTCCAGCACGTGTCCCATGCTACACACACATTATGGTTTCCTTCAGGTAAGAATGGCCCTTACTGCCCAGGGAGCGAGTCCTGCTGGGACAAGGCCTCTGTGGCAGTGGCCTCCTTGTCACTGCTCCATCTCACCAGGAGGCCAGGGTTTTCAGAGGGGAGGGAACACAGAACTCATACACTTCAGATCTATTTCCTGAGAAAAACTATAGAAAGAACTAATTCACCTGCAGTGCGGGAAACATGAGCAGGGCCCCTAATCAGACCGACAAGCCCAAAGCAAGACGGCCCGACGTTCACATCAGAACCAGAACAACAACCGTCTGGCCCCAGTTAAACGATCACCATCTCACCTGCAATGAACTGTTCATACTCAGTGTCAGGGATGTTTCTGTTGAGACTTGAGAGATCAAAAAAGTCAGACCAGGGAATCCGGACCTGGTGGATGTCAAGGCTCTGCCAATGGTAGAGGCGGCCCCAAGGGGGTAGCACCAGCACCGACTCCTCCATTTTCAGCAGGGTCTTCAGGAGGAAGGCGATGTGTTTACAGACGCCCCTACGGAGGCTGAAGCCCTCTGGAGGGTTGACGTCACACAGAAGGTACTTGGTAGGGAGCAAAGGAGAGCGGGTCTTCAGGGCCAGGCCTCTGCACAGGAATCCCGGCTTAGATAGAACAGATACAATGGGAATCCCTGCACAGCACATGGCCTAGATTCAAGACACGTTCAGCAGCTTCTGGTCTGTATAGTGGAGGCACTGCCCACCCATCTCCATGTGGCCAATTACTTCAAGTCCGGAAGCACATTCAGAAGACATCTTGGCATCTGTCTAACAAAGCTAAGCACCTGACTAGTACCTGAGCACCCGTTCTCCAGGGTCTCTCAAGATTCTTGTTCTACATACCCCTGTACACTCTTAATTACTGAGGACTTCAAAAGGCTGCTGTTTATGTGGGTTAAATCTATCAATAGTTCCTGTGTTAGAAGTTAAATAAGAACTTTGAAAAATGCTTATGAGTTCATTTAAAAATAATAACCTACTACCTGTTACCATTAATACTCTTAAGCAAAAAATAAGTATATTTTTCTAAACAAAAATCATTAATGAGAAGAATAGCAGTGATTTTAATTTCTGCAAATCTCTTTTGCACTGGTGAGAGCTGAATTCTATCTGCCTCTACATTCCCTGTTTTGTGATATCACAGACCAGGTTTTCCCTGGAAAACCCCACAGGAATCTCGGGAGTGCAAGAGTGTGCAAAAGGCAGGCGTTTCTACGAAAATAGTCTTTCATCTCAGGGGCTTTGGACACACTTTGATAACTGCTGCCCTACCCTAGGCGAGACTCTCCTACACAAGAGCCAAGCAAGGGTCCTGGCTTCTTTAATGAATTACTGCAGCCACACCCCTCCCTTTTCTGTGTTAATGTTTCCCACAACCTCCATTACTGCAGATGAGGATGCAATCCTCAAAAGGGGCTTCTAATCCCAGAAGACTGTCAACCTTGAGAGGGAGGGACCATCTACCATCCCTACACCCAGCACAGTCCATTTTGAGTCAAACCCTAGATAACTGCTAATCGGCACTGACCCTTGTCTTATTCCTGAGGTTTATTGAAGGAGCCAACATCTGGATGGAACTGAAATTTCCCTGCAGATAAACAAGGCTGATAAACCACCCCATTCCAACATCTGATTCTGGGGCTCTTCAAAACCCGGGTAAGGCCCCTCTTCATAAAAGACGGGTCCTCCACCTGCCCTTCCCGTGGGGTTCTGGGAGGCCATGGCCACGCAGGGCTACCCGGACTCGCGGTCCCAGCTCCAGAGCCCGAGGGGGAGCAAAGCCCGAGGCTGTGCCCCAGCCCTGTCCCCCCCCACCCCAACCCACTACCCGGCACCATAGCCCCTGCCCGGCAGCCACACCAACCCGGATCCCACCCCCGTCCATGTCCACTGGCCCCTCCAACAGCGTGGCCTTACGTTTACCGTCTATGGGACGCCGCCCCAGATGTCGGCCGCCGACTGACCAGGCCAAAACTAGTCGCCCGGCAAAGCAAGCCGCCATCCTCAGCAGCAAGCACCGCCATGGTCCCGGGCAGCTGTACAATTTCGGACCCCGCTGCCCGCCCCAGAAGCGCACGCCGGCCCGCGCGGAGCTCGGCGCCTGTAGCCATGGCAACGCAGCGGGGCCCTCCTCTAGGGGTTGCGTCTGCGTCCT